CTGTATCACTTGGCTGGTCTTCTATCCATCCTTCAAATCCCATGAGTAAGCTCCCATCAGACCACTTCCATTCTCCTTCAGTCTCTCCATCCGTTAATCCAATCCAGTAATCCGATCCAGTAATCTACTTCATCAATACGAAATGTCGCCTTGATAAATTCATTTTTTTCAGAGGAATCAATTTTCACTAACTGCGCATCACTGCTGGAACATTTCAATACTGCGCTACTCCACTTCTTTACACCTGTGGTGAGGTGATAGCACGAGCTTTGAAAAGAATACCAACCTTGCGGACACGCTTGAAAAGGAAAAAATTTACTATTAAAAAATTTGCAATCAAAATTAATTTGCTGCTCTCCACTCGTTCTTATGTATTTTATCAATATCATCGAGTATATCTGTTGTAAATCATTTTCCTAACAGACGAATCCCTTAATTAGAAACATCTAATCAATTGGACACAGTGTTGGACAAGGATTCAAATGAGTCAATGACTCAATCGGTCGATCAATCAATCAATCCATTGATAGATAAAAAAGATTATCAGTAAAACTCTTTGACTGTAGAGAACCATTCAGTGATCAACTTTGTTTCATTGAATTTCTTGTTTTTCTTTTGACATATAGCCTTCCTGTGTATGGAGCCTCTGAATCAGACCTTAAACAAGCCCAGCCCTTCTTACATAAATGTTACTAGCGGTGATATAGTTCCTGTCAGTTCATTATTTCAAGCCTTTCAGAGAAACAGGAGAGAAAAGTATTTGATAAGGTGATCTCACTGAGAAAAATACTGCATACAATCTACGTAGGAAAGGGTGCTTTCGCCCCAAAGTTAATACCTAACACCTCAAATCCACGTTAGTAAAAAGGTTTACTTTAAGTACGGTTTAGTTTAGTTTTATATATATTGCAACATAGGATATTTGTTTTTATCCTTTGAAATGAAATAAAGACTGTATCAGTATACCATCATTTACTTAATGTGTGGCTCATATCTGGCCAAATTTCAATGCAGACATTTTTAATCACATTTTGAAATACTTTCGAAGGATATTAGTTTTAAGTCAAAAATTTACTGAGATCGTTTTAACGGCCATTTCTTATTCCATTATTACGCCTCTATAGCATTTTACCAATGAAAACACTTCCTCTGTCGTAGTATTTGTCTTCATTTCCCGTTTCAGTCATATTCGAGCAGCTTTCATTTGGCCAAATATTTCGGTGCAGAACTTTTTCATTCGTTTGAAATGCTTTAAAGTTTAAGAATGAAGTTATAAACTAAACCTGGTGGAGTGGATTCGGGCAATGTTCCTGCCGACGAGGACGGAACATTGTCTTGAATTACTGGTAAGTAACTACATTTAATTATAAACTTAAGATGTAATTGTACTGCTCATATGAAGGCTAAATATTCATTTTGATATCACAAAATAAACAGCGAGTAAGTTATTCAATCTTAGCTTTCTTCACCTTTTGATGTCGCCATCCACAAATGTTACAGTTAAAAAAAACTAGACTCAGGCTTTAACCTTAAATTGTTACAGTCTCTCTGTTTCTTTGCTGGTTTTATTAACAGATATTTGTTCTTTGTATTTACGATTAATAAAACTGCGCCCAAGATTTACCTTGATCGCAGTTGGCCCGATGTTCCAATCCGTCAATGCAAATGCATCGATACCCTTTATTAGTGAACCCGGCTTGACATAATGTGTTGCTCGGACATGGACTGCTTTAACAGGAATTATTAAAAATTATTTAAAGGCTCAAGTGAGAGACAATGTTTGTGTGTTCACAGTTTTAAGTTATGGAAAATTTGGGTTTAACCAGGATTTAAGCACAAGCAGTAAACCAACTTATACAAAATATCTTGCATATTACATCGTCACCAATCATTGTGCACCTTCTGTCATACAGAAGAACATACAAGCGGGTGGGGGAGAGGGAAGTACTTATGGAACTGGGCATTCTCAAATAGTACATCGACATGATTGAAGTGATTTTAATATTTACACAAGAACCATATATGAAATTTATAGAAGCGCGTTATGTCACTTTCTGTTTGGTCAATAATAAAAAGCCATCTCATAAACCAACCAGTTTGAAGCAACCAACCAAGTTTTCTCGTGGGTATAGTTAATTAATAATGTAGTAAGAACAAAGACGCCATCTCATAAACCAATTAAAAAGTTCAAGCAACTTAAAACGATTTCTCTTTGGTAAGTTTGATTGATCGCTGACACAACTTTTAAGTAGTTTTGAACAATCAATCTAAAAGTGCTCCTGTGAGAATGTTTTTGTTTCTTACCAAGATGTTTTGGTAGATGTACTTTCCCTTTGGAACAAAATCGCTGCTGGAGACTCGCAGGTGGGTGTGATTACTGAGCTCACATGTCGGTGTATCACTCTGAAAAAAAATGGACCATAGTTGTATGACACACAGTTGGGTTCTTGGAAGCAGTTTGACTGCCACTGTGACCGACTTTGAACACTGATTTTTTTTATAACATGGTTTTTAAGAATCTTATCCATGGCTACAGGCTTGAATTGGATGATTCGGCAATTTTTGTTGAGAGCTAATGAAGAATGCATCGCAAAGAACTGTTTGTTACATACAATAATTCTTATCTCGGTGAGACCCCCTGAACTGTACCACACAAGGTACAATCATTACTAAATCAATCCTATCAATAGCAATTTTTGGAGATGTAGAAGTCTCTTTAAATTTTTCTAGTTGGATTAATAAGTTCCATCTTTAAAAAAAAAAAAAAACTAGTGACACCCAAACAAAATTTATCGTAGTTTAGGTGATAAACGTAACTCTTTCTGCGATTACCCGTGATTAGTCTGTAGGTTCAAATACGGTTGAATTACTTTAGGGTTCAAATCAACTTCGTACTCTTGGATGATGGCATCATGTCCTTAATTGGTCAAAATAAATGTGATATCTCACTATCGTAGTGAAGTATTTAGAAAATGTAAAGTCATCGGAGATAATAATCTCTTGATTAACTGTAACATCCTCTCAGCCTATGAAATTGTACTTAAAAGGACTTCACTTCGTTCATTACTTTGTTATTGCAGTGACTAGGTGGCGTGCTTCGGGTTGTCAGAGCCATGCTGACTTACAGGAGTACAAACAACTACACCAGCCACGAAGTCTTGGTGTTTTTTGGCAAAGTTAAAAAAAAAGAATGACAAATCAACAGGATACGTGTACTTAAATGAGCTTTGTGTTAAAGTCTTGAGTTCTTACTTTCCCCACTTTTGTTTCATTTTACAGATTCTGTGAATTTTCAATTGAATTTCGCTTACACTGCGAGACAGCGGTTGTTTCTGGTGTTAACCTTTGAAATTTGCGCGGAAAATTGTTGCGAGGCGTGCCAGAATTGATCCCTCGCGCATTCCCAACATTTGACCGCTGTGTAGAGTGCTGTGTAGATCCTTCACCGTTCTCACGAGCTTTTCCTTCTATATTGAAGAGCCAAAACTTGTTCCAGCGTCAACGCTAAGTCATAAACTTGTACCCGATAAACTCTCCCTTTGAAGTATCTACTATCATCACTCTTAGCGCCGATTTTAACGTCATAGTGAGTGGCCAGTGAACGAACTCCAATATCCAGCTGACCGACCTCTATACCATCGACCCACATTCGAGTAATCCCAGTGTTGTAATCATAGGAAGTGGCTACATATGCCCACTGCTCCATGATCAGTGGGGTGGGACTTTTTAAACATTCTACAAACGACCCACTTCTATCACGTTTAATCATACGGGCGAAAAACTTCCCTTCCACCAGCCATATGTGAACTTCCCAGCCTCCCGAGGGTCTGTAGTTGAAAAGAGGCCCATCTTGCCCTTGTGGATACACCCACATCAGCACTGTCAAGGAATACTGGACATCCAAACCTCCAAGATTGGGGACTGTGATAGAGCTGTCTGGAGTACCCAGGAACTGGTAAGAGCCCTCACGTTTCCCATCCGGTCCATCTGCGAGCTGTGCATTGGAGGGAATACCATCTGGTTGATTGCCCATCATGTCTTTTGTACCATAGGCAGGGTTTAAAGGGTAAAGGACAACAGGTTCCTTTACAGCTGAAATAAAATAAGTTTCGATGAACATAAGTCATTCAAACTCTTATGACTTGCAAATGTACAACGGCCAATGTGTTTAAAAGACCATGCAATCAGATATGTGATAGAAAAGACTATCAAAGATGAAAATGTACTAGAAAATAAATTTATACAGCTACAAAAAGAGCCCAATCATTTATAGCTGATTTTTTTTTTCTGTACTGATTGCACATGGAGATAAATTACCTATCCCTCAGTGCTCCCCTTCAAAGCCGTGGGGACAAACACATCTGTATTTTTTCGAGGTGAAGCCAACTTGACACCGTGTATTTACGGGACATGCGCTACTTTCGCAGTGGTTCTACAAGAATAATGTCAGTCAATAAATGCAATGAGTAATGATTTCCAGGAAAACAACTTGATCCTTGGGTATGTATGCTTACTGGTACGATAGTTTTTCAAAAAGTACTTTCCTCACTCACCAACACGTTTCGATAAATGTAGCCTTCCTTCGTTATTAAGTCAGTATTAGAGGCTTGCCCATGGCTTCGACTGTTCAGGTCACACTGCTTATTTTCGCTGTCGCCGGGACCGCAGTTGTAAGAGAAACAGTTTGGTTCTTCATAACAGTAAACTTCGCAAATATCGTTGCTCTTGACTGTCACAGTTCTGATTACGTAGTTTTCTAGGATCTTATCCATTGTGTAAGGTTCGAATTGAATGTTTCTGCAGTTACCTGGAAGGCACGTCTCTGTTGTGTAAACAAGAACCACAATCATACCCATTACTCGAAAAGTTGAAAGGAATGATTTTGATTGACCGGAATATCAAAAGTGTGAGGAGACGGACATTAACTTATCACCTAAAGACCAATAATTCAGATTGCCTTGTGTGCCCAAAAATTCTAATT